TACAACTCAACAAGAGGATAAACAAAAGACTGAATAGACATTTCTCCATAAACACATGAAATGTAGTCATCAGGGAAATGCAGATTAGACCACAGTGATCACCATTTTACCGGGACTGTTTTTGTTGTTGTTAAGTGCTGTCCAGTAGGTTTCGACTCACAGCAATCCTGTATAGGATTTCCAAGGAGCAGCTGGTGGGTTTGAACCGCTGACCGTTTGGTTAGCAGTCCAGGACTGATCCTGGTGGTGCCTGGTGATGGCTGGTGGTGGCTGTGTGCCGTGGAGTCGGTTCCAACTCATAGTGACCTTGTCCAGGGTTTCCAAGGCTGTAAATCTTTACGGGAGCAGAATGCCTCATCTTTCTCCCGCAGAACAGCTGGTAGTTTCGAACTACTGACTTTGCGGTTCACAGCCCGATTCGTAACCACGACGCTACTGGTTAAAAGAAAACAAAACAACAAATGTTGGCGAGGTGAAACTGGAACCCTCTTGCATTGTTGGGACGATGTAAAATGGTGTGGCCACTATGCGGTTTGGTGATTCCTTAAAAAGTTAAATATAAAATTACCAAATGACCCAGTAATTTCACTCCTAGGTACATACCCCCAAACAATTAAAAGCAAAATCTCAAAACAAATGCTTGTACAGAGATATTCACCGCAGCATTTTTCACAACAGTCAAATGGTGGCAACAACCCAGATGTCCTTCAGTGGGGGAGTGGATTAACAAAAGGTGGGCTATCCTTATGATGGAAAATTCGGGTTTATTTTACAACATGGATGAACTGCAAACATTATGAAAGAAGCCAGCCACAAAAAGCCACATACTTTAAGATTCCATTTATATGAAACGCCTAACTCAGTTCACTAACTTGGAGTTGATTCCGACTCCAGCGACCTTAGAGGACAGAGCAGAACTGTTCCCTGAGACCTTACCTTCTCCCCTTCTCCCACAGGTTGAGCCACTCCGACCTTTACTAAGCAGCCCAAAGCTTACCCCAGGGGTAAGAATAAACAAAACCATAGAATGTAGGTTGGTGGTTACCAGAAGCTGGAGGAGAGATGAGTGGGGAGGAACTATGAATGAGTATTGTTGTTGTTTCTAAGTGCCTTCTAGAGGGTACTGACTCATAGTGACCCTGGATAAAGTTTCCAAGGAGCAGTTGGTGGGTTTGAACTACCGACTTTCCAATGCTGAGCCTATGGTGCCACCCCAGGCTTCTTTTGTTGGGCCATGAAAATGTCTTGAAGTTAGATCAGGTGGTAGTTGCACAATCCTGTTTAATGACAGAACCCCTTTACTACGCCTACCATCATTTTATGGTGTCTTGGTGTGGCACTGTAGGTTAATGCACTGAACTGCAGGGTTAATTTTACCACAAGGTCGGTGGTTCAACCCCACCAGCCGCTCCTCAGAGATCCTATACAGGGTAGCTATGAGTCGGAAGCAACTCGACAATACTTAACATTTATATCCCCTCCCCGACTGTGAACACAGTTTTTCCCTCTGCTTCCCAGCTCTCCTACAGGAAGAAATAGATGTCATTTCTCTACAGATTAATGATCAACCAACTAATTTGAAACCATTTAAACATTTCAAACCTGGATTTCAGAAGAATCTAGGTTAATGCTTCCCCACATTGTTGTCTCATCAAATGCCCACGGACCTTACAGTGGTGCCTTGTGCTGTGGCGCTGGGGGAGCAGGGATTGTGCAGAAATGCCAAATTTGAGCCTGGGAAAGTGAAGCCAGCTGGACCCTTACATAAGTGCCTCTTCCTGAACAGCCCTGTCCCCGGCACCACATGGTGGACTTAGCACATGTCCTGTTTTCTCATGGACACCTCACACACTTATCCTGCACCTTAGAGAGAGGCCTTCTGACTCAGCCACCCTGTAGGACAGAGAAGAACCGACCCTGCCATTTCCCAGGCATTGATACTGTAGGATAAGCATTGTTCATACCTACCAAACAGCTCCTCTGAAACCCTAGACAGGGTCGCTGTAAGTTGGAGCTGACTCAATGGCACTTAACAACAACAAATCTTTATGGAAGCTTTGTCCCAACATGTGGCTGGTGGGTTCGAACTTTTTGGTTAGCAGCCAAGTGCTTTGAAATGACACAAACAGGAGCAATAAGATCCCAGAGTCACCTGGACACGTATGGCCACTGACATGAGCCCAGCTCCAGGTTGGGTTGATGGCTCTGTCTTGTTTAGGGTCACTGACTGCCCCCAGAGTGACTGCAGACGGTTCCTGGAGTTCTGAGTTAAGGCTAGGCCATAGCTCCGGTCCTGAGTCAGAGCCCCCTTGAGAAAGGAATGCAGATTAGGCCTTGGATGGATGTTCCTGCCTGATGGAGTTTGCCCCAGGCCAGGTGAGTTGGCTAGGGCCCCTTCCTGACACAACAGTTTTCCTAGTCTGAGGGGAACCACATGCTGGGATATTTCTTCCTGTACTCCCCACGCTAGATTCCTGGAGAGCATAGAGGAAATTCAGCTAGCTTTTCCTTAAGCAACCTTTGGCCAGGACTCTTTGCTCAGAGAAAGGAGCTGCAGGCTCCCACCTCCCTGACATTGCCTCCTTAAGAGAGAGCATTAAGTCTTACACATTGCCACAAGTCAGGATAGACACACAACCCAGTGACTAATGGTGGTGATGGTGTGCCATGGAGTTGGTTCTGACTCATAGCGACCCTGTTATAGGGTTTCCGAGGATGTAAATATGGGAACAGAAAAGCAGAAAGTCTCATCTTTCTCCCATGAAACAGCTGGTAGTTTTGAACTGCTGACCTTGAAGTCAGCAGCCTAACTTGTAACAACTACACTGTCAGTGACTAATAACAGCAACAAAGTGTCTTCCAGACTTGACTGGGTCTGTAAAGTAGGCACCACTGTGACTGCCAGAGAAGTCTGAATCAGGACCTGGCCACTGAACTCAAGGCTCCAAAGACTGGTCCTGCTCTCTGACCCCATCTCTTATTTCCTTTCTGATTCACCACGAACTCTGGCCACCTTTGTTTTCCCTCAAATGCACCAGATTTTCCTGCCCTAGGGCTTTTGCAGAGCACAGCCTTCAATATAGATTACATCTCAATGTTAAGAAAACAAAAATCCTCACCACTGGACCAATAAACAGCATTATCAATGGAGAAGAGATTGAAGTTGTCAAGGACTTCATTCTTCTTGGGTCAACTGTCAACACCCACGGAAGCAGCGGTCAAGTTAGATCAAACAACATATTGCATTAGGCAAATCTGCTGCACAGGAACTTTTTTTAAAGTGTTGAAGAGCAGAGATGTCAGCTTGAGAACTAAGGTGCGCCTGACCCAAGCCATGGTATTTTCAATAACCTCATATGGATGCAAAAACTAGACAGTGAATAAGGAAGATCGTAGAAGAATTGATGCCTTTGAGTTGTGGTGTTGGAGGAGAATACTAAAAGTGCCATGGACTGCCAAAAGAACCAATAGATCTGTTTTGGAAGAAGTGCAACCAGAGTGCTCCTTGGAGGCCAAGATGGCTAAGCTTCGTCTCTCATACTTTGGACACATTGTCCGGAGAGAACAGTCACTGGAGAAGGATGTCATGCTGGGTAAGGTGGAGGGTCAGAGAAAAAGAGGAAGACCCCCAACGAGATGGATCAGCCAGGTGGCGTCATTGATGGAGTCAAGTGTGGCAGCAGTAGTGAGGTTGGCCAAGGATCGGACATTGTGTCGTTCTGCTGTGAATGGGGTCGCTAAGAGTCGGTTCCGACTCAATGGCACCTGGCAACAACAAAAGGGCTTTTGTACTTGCCTTCCCTGCTGCCTGAACCACTCATCCTTTGTCACTTTTGCTGGCTAACTCTTCTCCAGAGGGCCTTCCCTGACCATTCCAGCTGGCCCCCAGCTCCCATTAGTGTCAATCCTCTCTCAGGATTCAGGATTTCTTATTTGCATTTAGGACCATTACAATCTGAAGTTGTAGTCTGTATTTGTTTCTTCTTTGATTTCATGAAAGCAGGGTCCTCCTTAGTTTTGTCCTCACTTTGTCGTCAGCCTCAAGCACAGTGCTGTGTACGTAGCAGTTGTTCATGCTTGCTGAATGGATGAAAGAATAATCTACTTCAGTCTCCAAGATAACCCCATGTAGTAGTGTTTCAGAGCAAACTCTTTGCTACACCTTTTACAGAGATGGTGGTGGTGGTGGTGTGCCATGGAGTTGGTTCCAACTCATAGTGACCCTACATAGGGTTTCCGAGGCTGTAAATCTTTACAGGAGCAGAAAGCCTCATCTTTCTCCTGCAGAACGGCTAGTAGTTTCGAACTGCTAACCTTGAGGCTAGCAGCCCATCTCATAACCACTATGCTACCAGAGGTCTCTGACTGTGGTCACTTCTTTGGTCATGTGACTGCTGAAGCTAGGGCTGGAGTTTCTTGAAACACCTGTCTGTGGAAGCCAGCTGCTATGTAAGAAGCTCATTCTGAGACCACCATGTAGTCAGGAAGCCCAGGCTAGCCTCTCGGAGACAGAAGTAGCTGGCTGCCAGTCCCAGCTGAAGTGACAGATGTAGGACTGAAGAAGCTATCCTGCCCACTCAGCCCTAGCCTCCCACAAACAGTAGCCACCCAGGAGAGTCCAGGCGAGTATGGCCCAGCCCAGCCGGGCTTAGTCAACTAACACACTGAGAAATGACAATAATAAAGCCTCGCATTAAGCCGCTGAGTTTTAGTTTGTTACACAGCTGTAGATCAACTGGTAGGAACATTCTCTTCATTTTTCAGATACAATAAACCAAAGCACTAAAAGGTCAAATGACTTGACCAAGGTCACTAAGAGTCTGGAATGGCAGAGTGGGCTCTCCAACTTGGATTGTCTCCAAGGCTTATACTTTCAACCCTGGGTGAATTAATGTTTGCTCTTTCTGAAGGCTTCTTTTTGACTATTATTATTTACATCTCTGGTGGTCACTACCGTGTTAAGAGCTTATCCTGGAAACTCTTTTTCCTTCTCACTGTAGATCTTCATAGACAATGAATGGCATGATGCCGTCAGCAAGAAAACATTCCCCACCGTCAACCCGTCTACTGGAGAGGTCATCTGTCAGATAGCTGAAGGGGACAAGGTGAGAACCCCTTACTTACGTTGAAACAGTTGGGATGGAGATGGACAAAGGTGATTTCATTTAAAAAGAAACACATTTTATACGTGTATGATTCACTAACAATAACCCCACTGTGGTCGGGTAGCCATCACCACCACAATGGCTCCACTACTTCTCATTTTCTTTTACACTGACTGTGCGGTTGAAATTTTACCCCATACATGTATTGCCAATGTAAAATCCTGAGTACGTATATAAACAGACACTCACCCTAGTAGAGAAAGGTACTAGATTGGACTTGGTACAATAACTCATATTCTTACGGGCTTAAAGAGTTGGCAGTGAATTTGGGGGAACATCTAATCCAGTCTCTCTTCCCCAGGCCTAGAAAGGGAAGGTCAGAGGAGGTAGGTGCACAGCTAGACAGAAGTCATTGGAGAAGTCTTTTTGAGTAGAATTTGGGTCTCCTGGGACCTAGCTCTAGGGTTGGTAGTACAGGTAGTCCCCAGGTTAAAAACAAAGTCCATTCCTGACTTTGTCCTTAAGAATTTGTAGGTCAGTTGGAACAGATGCATAAGGTTCTTACTTAGCTTTATTTTCATGCAAGAAAGACTTGAAGCCTTCAAAGATTTATACCTACAGCAAGTGAGGGTCATTTCAAAGTGAGGATAAATTTACATAACGTTAAAGCCGGGCTTTGAACTAAAGTCCATCCAGCAGTGCCCTGCTCAAAGATGGTATTTCCCTGCCCAAAGACAGTGGCCGACCTAGCTACTTTGAATGTGGCTCACCACTGTTCTGCCAGTAATCTGGTCTCATGTGTCAGGCTCCTGAAAAGGCTCACTATGCCTCTTCTGGTCCCCCATTCCAGCACTTCAACACATAAGTTTTCTCATTCCAGTTTCCATGATGAATCATGCAAATTGTAAAACTTCAAGTCTATTCCTGTTTAGCCATGACAAACTGGTTGGAAGCCCTGCAATAAAGGGCAAGTAGGAATTGTCGATGAGTTGGATACTCATAACCTGGAGACTACCTGTAAATCTTGCTTGAATTATACATGATCATAATTAAAAAATTAGTTGTATCTTATACTTTTAGAAAAAGTCTTTCATTTTTTAATAGAAAAGACACTAGAAATTATTCAAGAATGCCACCTGCCCCCTGTGAAAGACACAGTTTTCAAGTTTATAGGGTAGCCTGAAAGGAGCTCTGGTAGCCTAATGGGTTACGAGTTGGGCTGCTAACCGTAAGGTCAGCAGTTTGAATCTACCATCTGTTCTGCATGAGGAAGATGAGTTTTTTGCTCCTGTAAAGATTTACAGCCTCAGAGATCCTATACATACTCCCTGTGAGTTGGAACTGACCCATAGCACATAACCACCGCCACCACCAGGGCAGTCTGATGGAAAGTGGACCTAGTAGTAGTGCTTCCTAATGTGCTTCTCCTGATAGGAAAAATGCCAATTGTGTTTATTTTACTGCTCTCCCGAGGAGAGCAAGGTTGTTTGACGTGCATTTCTTTGAAAATGCCACCCACTGTAGAAAGAATGGTTAATCCTACTGAACTTCTTCTCTTGAGAGAGGAAAACGGTCCTCAGTGACCCTGAGGGCCGCTCTCTCCAAGATTCTTTTGTTTTGAAACTTTTTATTGTGAATTGAGTGAAAGTTTACAGAGCAGATCATCAGTTTTACATGCCAGAAATCACACACTTCGTTTCATCTCAATGCCTCTCTAAGACTTTTTGGGGGATTTTGAAATGAAAACACAGAACTCAGAATGGTAAGGTTTCGTGTTCCCACCCTGACTCTGGAAATGAGAGGAAAAGCCTGAGCTTGCCAAGTGGGACCCTTCAGGACTAGAAGGAACCGTATGGGGCAAGTCTTCTGAGACATCAATGCACACGTGGTTACCGACCGGGTGGTCTGAGACATCAGGCGGGTGGTCTGGTACTTGGAGGTGGTTATGATGAAGAAGGCCTGAAATGGCTCCATGGGTGTTTTCCAGGAGGACGTGGACAGAGCAGTGAAGGCTGCCCGGGCTGCTTTCCAGTTAGGTTCACCCTGGCGCCGGATGAACGCATCTGACAGGGGTCAGCTGCTGAACCGCCTGGCCGATCTGATTGAGCGGGACCGGACCTACCTGGCAGTGAGTCCTCAGCCTTTTCCTCCCTTGTAGCAAGTGACTCCGAGTATCCTATGTGGTGCTAATAACTGATGAGCAGGGCAGAGGGTGATTCCTTTAGGTTCTGACCCTGCTTGCAACCAAAAAGCCTCCTGCTGTCTGCTTTGATGTAGTGGGGTCTGGCTAAGTAAAGAGGAGACTGGTGGGGAGGGAACAGGGTCATGTTTCAGGGACCTTCCCAGGAGCGACCCCAGGGATGGATTTCTTTTCCTGTACCCTCTGCCGCTGAGACAGGCAGAGGAATACAAGAGGTAAGTAGTACCCTGCCCTTTTTCTAATCCATTCTGCACATCACAAGCAGGGTGATCCTTCTAGAAGGCAAGTTGTACCACGACAGTCCACTCGCCGAGCCTTCTGTGGCATCCCGTAGCCTTAGGTTAAAGCCCTGTTTCCTCTCAGGCTGGTGCAGTCACACTGGCTTCTGCTGGATCGTGCTCTTCTCAGCCTTCAGGTTCTTGAGTCCAGGCTTCCTCAAGCCTCTGCACATGCTGTTCCCTCTGCTTGAGGTGCTCTTTCCTTTATCTCCATCTCTACCTTTCCCTCGGCCTAGGAGGCATCCTATGTGTCCTTCAGGTGTCTGCTTTAAGGGCACTCCTCAGGGAGATGCTTCTCAGACGGGGTGAGCTAAATGACTGGAAGCATTCTGTGAGCTGCCTTCTCTCTAGCACCCTTGACACTGTGGTGGGTGTCATTATTTGTGTCATTATTCACTGTCTCCTTGCTCTATAAGCAACAGGTCTGTCTCAGTTACAGGGGGTGGCTTTAAGGAACAGAAATGTATCTTCTCATCGTTATGAAGGATAAAAGTCAACTGTAAACTTATAGACAGGTCCTCACCTGGCAGCTGTCTTTGTCCTAGGTGTGTATCTCAAAGTGTATTGTACTCCTTTCATATAACGCACGACCTCATTAACAAAATGAAAGGAGAATTCTGTTTCCAAACAGGATTACATCTATAAGTACAGACAGCCAGGCTTCTGGGCACCTCGTTTGGGGAGACACAATTTGATCTGTAACAAGGTTCCTCACTGTATTCCTAGCACCTAGGGTCTGGCTTAGAGCAGAAGACGAAAAACTACTTGTGAAATGATTGAAAGAGACTTGACGTATCATTCCTCCCCGACTTTTGCCTTGAGAGGGAGGGTCAATGGCCCATAAATGCGACCTTTGGTGGCATAAAAGAGCCTCTCACCCAGGCTGCCACCACCTTCTCAGTACCCACCTCCACGCTGTTGGTCAACCCACTGACTTTGTTTCCTCCCTGATTCCCCATGTCTCTGCTAACCTTTTCTTTTCTCAGGCTTTGGAGACTCTGGACAATGGCAAGCCCTATGTCATCTCCTACCTGGTGGACTTGGACTTGGTCCTCAGGTGTCTCCGGTATGGGTTCAGATTTCCTGTTCTTTCTTGCTCTAGTGGTGCTAAAGGAGTGGAAGCGGTGTTGGGGTGTACAGACAGACTGTAGAAACGTAAAAGGCACACAGGCAAAGGAGAAGCTCATCCATTTAGACTCTTAGCTCTTGGGGAAATCCCTCAGCAGCAAATATTGTAACTTAATCATAGACGTTTTTTATTTCTGCTGGAGTCAATTTGGTAATTTGTGTATTACTAGGAATTTATCCATTTCATCTGCCAAAAAAAGCCAAACTCTCTGCCATCACATCAATGCCAACTCATTGTGACCCAATAGGCAGAGTAGAACTGTCCCATAGGTTGGCCAGGCTGTAATCTGTATGGAAGCAGACTGCCACATCTTTCTCCCACAGAGAGGCTGATGAGAGAAAGGGAGTGGCGATGCTTTAAGTTGCTAACTCCTTGGCTATTTTTCTCTCAAGTCACAAGTTCATCATTCAAATTCAGATCAACTGGAGTCTCTGGCTAATATTTCAGAGATTTTCCTTTTATCCCACATCCTTCATCTTTCTCCGTCTTCCATATTTCTTCCCTCCCTGGAAACTGAAACCATTACACACTATAAACACCCAGCTGTTCTTTTTCCTGCCTCTCATTTGCTGTGTTTTTTTCTGTGCCTTGTATCTCACTCTGTTACGTGCACCCCGTCTGTCAGTGTGTCAGACTCTGGTGACTTGAATGTTGCTATGATACTGGAAGCTATGCCACTCATATTTAAGATAGCAGCGGGGGCACAGGTTTAAGCAACACTTCCAAACTGAAACTAGGAAGAAAGGCCTAGGGATTTACATGTGACAGTCAGCCAGTGAAAACCCTACACAGACCCAAACAGAACGTCCTCCGATACAGTAAGTACCAGGACACGATGCCCTAGCTTGGAAGGCACAGAGAATACACAGTGTCTGCACTGTGGAGGGGAGCACAGCAGAGATGCTGAAGATGGTGCAGGGCTTGGCGCTGTTTCATTTTGTTGTGTGCGGGGTCACCAGGAGTCAGCCCTGACTACAGTAAGACAGCTAACAACAAAGGGTCTAGATAACAAGCCTTTCAGGGGTCAGTTGATGTTTTCTTTCTTTTCTGTGGCCCTTCCACATGTAGTCCAGTGCTCTGGCTATTTGAGGAGACCACACTTCTCTACCAGATCCAAGTCATAGTTATCAGGTGCTGGGGTTTAGCTTGGTGCTGGACTAATCTATTGTTTGCGGTTTACTAATCTGGGTGTTTATCAGAATATAGCTTCCTGGGCATCAGTTCCAGAAAGCCAGATTGAGTAGATCAGGCATGGGCACCTGGAAATGGGTGTCTGTAACAAGCATTGCAGTGGGATCTGATGCTTGGAGGTTATTTACCTAGAGTAAGTTCAGTTTTTTAAGTCTTTCTGGGAAATAAGCCAAAAGCAACGGAAGTTATTAGAAAATTTCAATTAGATCAGTTCAAATCTTCTTTTGTTTTCTATTTTCTGCTAGACTTTGCAGGCTTCCCTCACAGTTGTTGTTGGAAGCTATTTGTCTTTTTTTTCTTTTTAAGGTATTATGCAGGCTGGGCTGATAAGTACCATGGGAAAACCATCCCCATCGATGGGGACTTCTTCAGCTACACTCGCCATGAGCCTGTGGGGGTGTGTGGGCAGATCATCCCGGTGAGTGATCCTCTCTCCACAGGCTGACCAGGAGTGCTGGGGCCTAGAGTCCACAAAACAGAAAGGTGATTCAGCCATCTCAGAAGGACTGGTTGCAAAGGTGTGGGGGGGTGTGGGTTGAAGTCAGAAGACAGCTGGAGTTGGAGAACACGGACTTGGATAAAGCCAAAGCCAAGTTTGGTCCTAGCCCTGCCATTCGATGACTCTGTGACCTAGGAAAGTTGCTAATCCCCTAAGTCTCAATTTTCTCATCTGACAAACGGACATGAACATAGCGCCTGTCTTAGGGAGGCAGGGAGGATTAGACAGATATGTCTAAAAGGGTACAGCACAGTGCTTGGCACATAGAAAGCTCTAGTCCATGTCACTTGCTGTTACTGTTCTCCTGCCTCTGAGGATGCATTGGTTCCGTTGGGGTGTGTGTGTGTGTTGTGTGTTGCAGTGGAACTTCCCGCTCCTGATGCAAGCATGGAAATTGGGCCCAGCCTTGGCAACTGGCAACGTGGTTGTGATGAAGGTAGCTGAGCAGACTCCGCTCACCGCCCTCTATGTGGCCAATCTGATTAAGGAGGTACTTCTGCGTCTTGTTTCCATCTTTAGCTCTTGCTACACTGGCTCCCTACAAGACGCTCTTTGAAGAATGGAACCATTGTTCTCAACGAATACCATAGGGGGAGGGACAACAGTCATAGGAAACCCCAGATAATGGGCTTCTTGTCACTACTATTTAGAATCCCTGTGCAAGACCCCGCCAAGCCTGCCGCTGCTCACTAACTGTCTTGGCTGCAGGGCTTAGTCTCCAGGGGCTGCTGTAACAAAGCACAATAAAACAGGGGACTTAAAGCAGCAGAAATGTATTGTTTCCTAGTTCAAGAGGCTAGAATCTGGAAATCGAGGTGTGGACACAGCCGTGCTATCTAAAGGCTGTAGACGAAGATCCTTTCATGCCTCTTCCTAGCTTCTGCTGGTTCCTGGCAATCGTGGGTGTGTCTTGGCTTGTCAACACTGCAGTCCCTGTCTCCATCCTTCCGTGGCTGTCTTCCATCTGCATCTATCTCCATTTCCCTTCACTTCTAAGGACACCAGTCATAATGAGTTAGGGCCCATCCTACATCAATGTGACCGCATGTTTGCTAAGGACATCTGTAAAGATACATTTTTCAAACCAGGTCTCATTCACAGCTACCAGAGGTTAGAGCTGCAACGTCATGCCTCCCTAGGAGAGGATGAGCTTCCCCTGCCTCATCCCAATGTCTGGCCCTTCAGAGCAGGATTCTCACAATGTCTCTGGCTGTGTGCCTACAGGCTGGCTTTCCCCCTGGCGTAGTCAACATTGTTCCTGGATTCGGCCCCACAGCTGGTGCTGCCATTGCTTCCCACCAGGATGTGGACAAGGTGGCATTCACAGGCTCCACTGAGGTGAGACATCTCAGGGACCTCATTTCCCACCATCCTGAAAGGATGAGACGTTGATGGTCAGCTTCTGGATATGCTGGTTCTGCCCCCAAGACTTGCCTCCAATTTGTTCCTGGGAGGGGCTCTGGCTGTGTCAGGAGTGACGGTGCAGGGCTGAGCCATTTGTGCTTAGACCCAGTGCCCCATGTGGAATAGAGTTCATGACCATTTGGACTTCGCAGAGTCCAGAGACACCTGTCATGATCCTTGAGTGCCAAACTCCTTGACTGGCTCTGTCACTGTGCTTAGGAGCTTGGGTTTCAGAAAGGTGGAATTTAACATGCACACGGCACCGAGGGCAGTGCATGGTAGAGGCAGAAGCCACACAACAATGACCACTGTCAGTCTGTTATCCTTACTGGATTCCAGTCATACGAAATGTGTAGGACAGATGAATCCACAGACAGAAAGTAGTTGAGTGGTTGCCAGGAGCTTCGGGTTAGGAACAGGTATCAGTGCTAGCAGGTACAAGTGTCTTTTTGGAACTCGGGGGAGACAGCCATGGAGAGTGAATGGCTGGAATGAAATACTGAGTCTCTTGTCACCCAGCTGCCTTCTCCAGGTGTGGGCTTACTCCTCTGTTCTGTGTGTCTCTTACATGCATGCACATGTTCTTAGTGTGTCTGTTTTTGTTTCCCCAAGGTTGGCCACCTAATTCAGGTGGCTGCAGGGAGCAGCAACCTCAAGCGGGTAACTCTGGAGCTGGGGGGAAAGAGCCCCAACATCATCATGTCGGATGCCGACAGTAAGTTCCCAGGGGGAGGCGGCTGCCGGTGGTCCATGCCTGGGTTCTGCTCCCTTCTGTGATCCACAGTGTCCCATCTAAATCAACCCACCTCTGAGGTCTCTGGGTGAAGGCCATACCCACTGCCTAGCCCTTGGCAACCCCAAGATCTGATTCTTCCCCAGTCTCTCGTCTCTTTCTTCCCTGGAACCCAGCCAGGTTGAGCTACACAGTTCTCCAGCTGTGCCCGCGATGTCTCTCTGGCCAGACCCCTGTCCCTACTATACTTCCTTCTGTTCCTGCTGCCATGATTCCCAGATATGCCCTCCACAGACTGGGCGGATCCCCAGGGGTCACGGGTGCTGTTTTCTGTCTCCTCGCTCACCGCCACAGCCTGTGGAGCCCCAAACCTCGTGGTGGGAATGGGTTAGTGAGCAGGGGGCCACTGTCCTCCTCCATGCCTCATGCTGACCGTCTGTCCTATGTCTGCAGTGGACTGGGCCGTGGAGCAGGCCCACTTCGCCCTGTTCTTCAACCAGGGCCAGTGCTGCTGTGCTGGCTCCCGGACCTTTGTGCAGGAGGACGTGTACGCCGAGTTCCTGGAGCGCAGCGTTGCCCGGGCCAAGTCTCGCGTGGTTGGAAACCCCTTTGATAGTCAGACTGAGCAGGGGCCACAGGTAAGCTGGCAGCTGCAGAAGCAGCAGGACTGGGCTTCACCCTTCCTACCTCACCTGAAGGGTTACTATGGTGGTTGTGAAGTGGAAATGAAATACTGTAAGCACTTTCTAAGGACCCCTGGTGGCACAGTGGGTTAAGCACTGGGGGGTGTCAGATTGGCAGTTCAAACCCACTAGCTGCTTCTAGGGAGAACAATGCTCCCTTAAAGACTGATAGTTTCTCTCTGGCCAGACTCACAGGGAAAACCCTCTGGAGCAGTTCTACTCTGTCCTACTTGACGGCAGCAGGTTTGGGTTTTGCTTTGGGTTCAGCACTTTGTAAAGTGTACGTATCTGATGAGGAAGAGTGTCAGGATGCTGACCATCCAGAGAAATGCATTTCTCAGGCGCCTGGAAGCACGTACATGGATGTGTTGACCATGGTTACCTCGGGGGAGCAGGGTCAAGGCAATAGTGTGAATGAGGGTAGGAAACTATTGTCACCTTAAACTCCATAAAACTGTAATCACTCCTTGTTATAATAAAAACAAATACACTACAAATAAATACTCAGTAAGTCAAACAGCATCCCACTCTGTAAGACAGTTGAAAGCAGGGACCCACACAGAGACTTGTACATCAGTGACCACTGCAGTGCTATTCACACTAAGCAGAAGGTGGAACCAAAACAAATGCCCATCAACAGAGGATGGAGAGATGCAACATAGCAGGTCCATGTGCTGGAGCAGCACTCAGTCATGAGCAGAAATGAAGTCCTGTATACTAAGAAAGGCACTCAAGCAAGATGCTGAGTGACAGACACCAGACATACAAAGTCAACCTTACCGGATTCCATTCAGATGAAATGTGAAGGACAGATGAATCCACAGAGACAGAACGTAGTTGAGTGGTTGCCAGGGGCATCGGATGAGGAACAGGTATGAGTGCTAGCAGGTACAAGTGTCCTTTTGGGGGAGATAAAAATATTCAGGAATTAGAGGGGATGGCTGTGCATTGCTGTGAATACATTCAAATTCACTGAAATGTACATTTGAAAATGATGAATGTTATATATGAATTTCATTTTAATAAAAAAAAGTATGTGAACAAAATATCAACATTTTAAATTAGGGGCTGAACAAATAATAATGAAAAAAAAAAAAAAAAAGACCATGCTTCTGCCCACATTTCCTCACATCTGGTCTATACTCCAGCACTCCCTGAGCTGGCCGCCTCTGGCCACCCTTCCCAAAGTCTACAACTGCCCCGCACTGCCCCTTCTAGACATCGCTGGATATCGCCTTCAGCACTCCCTCTTCCCAGGCACCAGGCCCGAGTGGTCTGTCTGTGCTGCTGCTGTCCCCAGCCCAGGTCCTAGGGTTGGGAGGCAGAGCTGGGACCTGGACATGGGCTGGGATAACCCCACACATGGGAAGGGAGCCCTCTGAGGTGCAGGATGGAGCAGACAAGAGAGGCAGAGGGGGCCGACTCCCATCTGAGTCCCCGCAGGATCACTTTCCAGGGACACATTTCCAGGAATTGGAGAATTCTAAACTTAGCCTGGCCTTTTGGGTGTTAGTAAGGTGAGTGGATAGAATATATTTTCCTTGTCAGTTTATTAGTTTGGTTTAAAACTTTTAAATTCGAAGGGTCTTCAAAAAGTTCATGGAAAAACGAAACGAAAAGACAATGGAATTCTTCCACAAACTTTCTGAAGCCCCTTCATATCTGTCCTATGGCCAGCAGTCCCCATTTCTACTCTTGCCCTAGGCCCAGCGAATGTAGTGGGGGCTGCCTTTTTCTGCCTGGTTTCCCCATGAGCTTTTGCAGGCCTGCCCCAGCCCCAGCGTAGACATCACGGGGTGTGGCGGGGGTGGGGGTGAGGGGCATGCAGCTACTTCTGAGGATGTACTGGAGGCTCACAACAGGGCCAGGTTATGTGCCCAACATCTCTGTCTCAATTGTTTTTGTTGTTGTTAAGTACTGTTGAGTCACTTCTGACTCATAGTGACCCTGTATAGGGTTTCCAAGGAGCAGAGCGGCTGGTGGATTTGATCCACTGACCTTGTGGTTAGCAGTCCTGTGCTAATCACATACCATAAAATTCACTGTTATAAAATGTACAGTTCAGCAGCATCTAGTATATTTACCTCTAGCTAATTCCAGAATATTTTTATCATACAAAAGACACCTGTACTTGATAGTAGTCACTCCCCATCCACATTCCCAACCACCAACCTTTTCACTTTTTAACATTTTATTATGAATAGAGTGGTTTACAGAGCAGATCAGTGTTACATACAACAGATTACACACATTTGGTTTCATCTCACTGATTACAATCCCACAATGTCAGCATCACTTATCCGACTTCCTCTCTGTATTTCTTTCATCTTTCCACTCCTCCTCCTTTCTTAAGTCTTGTGCATTCTGGCCTTAGGTAAATGCTGTCCATTTGCTCTCAGAGGGTCGCATTCTAAAATGCAGTGTCTCCCTAGGATTATTGTTCCCCTTATAGAAATGTCTTTTGTATGGCTGAAAATTGAGCCACTGGAGTGAGTTTAGTTTGAGGCCTGAAGGGTTACTGAGGGCCACAGCCTTGGAGGTTCTACCAGTCTCTTTCTAACCAGTAGCTCTCGTCTTTTTTATGATTTTGAATTTTCTTTTACTCTATCCAGCAGCTTCTAGTGTGATCTCTTTTAGAACAGTTGGTAGTGGTAGCTGGGCACCATCTAGTTCTTCTGGTCTCAGGGGCAACCACCAATCTTCTGTTTCTGTGAAAATGCCTTTTCTAGACATTTCAAATGGAATCCTACAGTATTTTGCTGAATCAATGTGTATGAACATTTAGTCAACCACTCACAAAAAACACTGTACCAATCTAATAGTCCTTATGATAGTGTATATGACATACTCTTGTTATCATGTATTTTCTCAGTGATTTAAATTCCTGCTATTCTAATAACGGAAAAACAAAACAATGGGTTTGATTTGCATTTCTGTGATCACTACTGAGCTTGAGTCTTTTTTCTTAGGTTTCTTGGCCATTTGAGTTTCCTTTTCCTGCCTTGCTTAGTCATGACATTGCAAGCAGGGTCAAGAAGAGGAATGACTCTATCTTTGCATCTCAGATAACTCTGCTTCTTCTGCTGCAGGTGGATGAAATGCAGTTTAAGAAAATCCTTGGCTATATCCAATCTGGGAAGCAGGAAGGGGCAAAGCTGCTGTGTGGTGGTGGAGCTGCTGCTGACCGTGGCTACTTCATCCAGCCCACTGTGTTTGGAGACGTGCAAGATGGCATGACCATAGCAAAGGAGGAGGTAAGCATGGGGTCGGAGCTCCAGAGAATGGTCTTCAGGGGAGAGAGGGGCCACATACAATCTCTGCTTAGCCAGTTATTATCAAGTTAACTCCAGCTCATGGTGACCCCATGTGTGTCCGAGTGGAAATGTACTCCATAATGTTTCCAGTGGCTGACTTTTCAGTAGGAGATGGTTAGGCCTTTCTTTAAGGTACCTCTGGATAGCCTTGAACCACCAGCTTTTCTGTTAAACATTTTAACACTTAGGAACACAACCTCTGTGCTTGTTACGTTGTTAGGTTGGTTCTGACTCATAGCAATGCATGCAACAGATGGAAACGCTGCCTGGGTCTGCGCCAGCCTCACAGTTGTTATATCTGAGCCCACTGGTGCTGCCACTGTAGTCAATCCCTCTTGTTGAAGGGCTGCCTCTTTTTTACTGACCTTCCATCTTATAAGCATGATGTCCTTCTCCAGGGACGGGTCTTTCCTCACAGCATGTCCAAAGCATGAGAAACAAACTCTCACCATTCTTGCTTCTAAGGAACATTCTGGCTGTACTTCTTCCAAGACAGGTTTGTTTATTCTTTTGGTGGTACATGGTACTTTGCATATTCTTTGTCAATACCATAATTGAAATGCATTGATTCTTTTATGTTCTTCCTTATTCATTTATCTCCAACTTTCATATGATATGAGGCAACTGAAAGTACCATGGCTTGTGTCAGGCACACTTTAGTCCTCAAAGTGACATTTTTGCATGTTAACACTTTAAAAGAGGTCTTTTGCCAATTTGCCTAATGCAATACGTCGTTGGATTTCTTGACTGATTCTTCCATGAGCACTGATTGTGAAAGCAAAATGAAATCTTTGACAATTTCACATCCCACTTGTTGTTCTCCATTTTTCATGATAATGTTTATTGCCCAACTGTGAGGATTTTTGTTTTCCTTACATTGAGGTGCAATCCATACTGAGGGCTATATAGTCTTTGCTCTCCATCAGTCACTATTTCCAGTCCTCTTTGCTTCCAGCAAGGCTGCATATCTCATGTGCCTCTCCAGCCCTTGAGGGCTCCTCACTGTATGGCTTGCTATTGTTGCTACGTGCCATTGAGTCGGGATCTGACTCACAGCAACCCTGTACAGGGTTTCCAAGGAGCAGCTGGTGAGCTGGAAGTGCCGCAGTTTACTGCAGTAACTGGCAGCACCACACCAGAAGGCCTCACTGTATGGGAGGGGCTGCTTTCGATGTTCTCCTGGAAAAACATTGTGAGCTCAGGACAGCAGCTATTTACTGCACACTCACTATGTGCCAGGCCCTCTGCAGACCCTGGAGAGACATCTTATCTGCTCCTGGGGAGTCTACAATCTCCAAGAAACTGGATTAAGACTTCTAGTTGTTACCCCGTCACATATAATTCAGAATAAAATTACATGAAAATGCATACTGGGGGTAAGAAAGTCCAAGAGTGTTCTGCCTTCCCCCATCCATCCTGACTACTTTGATGTTGCTCTCTGGGTGGGGCAGGGGGCTGCCTCCGCTGTGCTGGTATCCTGAGCCCGAGCCACCTGCTATACAGCTGGGGTCCCGGCCCTGGTGAACCCTTGGCAGGCGCCTTCCACCTCCATCTTCACACACTGGATTTGCCATGCCCCTCATCTCTGCACCTCATCCTCTCTTGACTGTGGCCACTTTTCTGCTCTTGGGATGTCACAGCATGGCTTTCATTTCTGGGCAGCCTCCTTTGATGCCCGTCAGTGACCTTAGGCTCTCATTACTCCTGGCCATGCACTGAGCACCCACAGCTGGGGTCCCAAGCCCCTCTGCATGGAGTGGGCCAGAGAATAGTGAGAGCCCTAGAGCAAGGAGGCACATTGTGGTTTCTCAACCCATTCTCCACTACGAGGACTCAGGAATTCTGAGAGAAGTGACTCGGACTGAGGAGGGGCAGTCCAGGAACACCCTGGAACTTCTCAGGGCTGAGACTCTGCCTTGTTTGCTGCTGTTTCCTCAGCTTCTGGCTGTGTACCTTGCACTTCAACTGTATTTGCTGAATAACAGGTTTAAAGACTCTGAGACAGAATCTGTGGGTACCATGTGAGTTACCCGAACCTTACAGGGTTGTTTATGTATGTAAGCTAGAGGTACTGGAAGTCCATGCTGGCTTCTTTCCTTTGGGTTTCCCTGGGTTTTGGAGCTCTTGTCTCCCTGTGGGACCATTGGGTGTGTTCAGGGGCTTGGCATCACATCTGGACTAATTTGGTCAGCACTGTGAAATCTGGGTAGCCTGCCTGGTACATCCTCCTCCTCCGCTTTCTTACCCCAGATCTTTGGACCGGTGATGCAGATCCTGAAGTTCAAGACCATAGAAGAGGTCATTGCGAGAGCCAACAATTCCAAGTATGGGCTGGCTGCAGCTGTCTTCACAAAGGACTTGGACAAGGCCAATTATCTGTCCCAAGCCCTCCAGGCTGGTACTGTGTGGTAAGGGACTCCCACCATTCCTTGCCAGCCATTCAGAATGTAGGGTATTGATCTGATTCTCCTGGGTCAGAGTGGAGTATCCAGGGAGTGATATAGCCACTAAGTTAAAGACTGCCACCCCCCCTGTCCTCCAGAACATGCCCCATCTAACTTCTCTTAAAGCAGATGGATGATGGACCTCCTTACCAAGCTGTATCCAGGGAGGCCAGGGATGAGGGCATGTGTAAGGGGGCTTCAAAATGGTCATGAAAAATTCCATTATTTTTTTCAAACTTCTTGAACGCCCCCTCATATGTTTATAATACTGATCTTAAAGCTTAGCACCTACTTCATATCTACTTGTTGTTGTTGTGTGCCATTAAGTTCATTCCAACTCATTTGTTGGTAAGTGCTGTCGAGTTGGTTCCAATCCATAATGGTCCTGTATAGGGTTTCTAAGGAGCAGCTGGTGAACAGCACATTAGCTAGGGTTTTCAAGGCTGTAACCTCATCTTTCTCCCAAGACACAACTAGTGGATTTGAACCACCGACCCTGTGGTTAACTGCCCAACATGTAACCCACTATGCCACCAGGGCTCCCCAAATCCACTTGTTGTTGTTGTTAAGTGCCTTCGAGTCGGAGCCGACCCATAGCGACCCTGTACAGGGTTTCCGAGGGTGTAAATCCTTACACTAGGATACTTATAATAAAACAAAATAAACAATTGAAAAATAATAAATGTCGGTGAGGACACAGAGAAATTAGAACCCTCAGCCAGTGTTGGCGGGAATGTAAAATAGTGTAGCCACTATGCGAAGCAATTTGGTGGTTCCTCAAAAAGTTAAACACATAATTACCATGTTGTTGTTGTTGTTGTTAAGTGTCATTGAGTCGGTTCCAACTCATAGTGGCCCTGGTAGAACTTGACCGGTGGGTTTGAACCGCTGACCTTGCAGTTAGCAGTCCAGTACTTATCCTAAGGTACCACACTAGGCTCCACCCACATTTACCATGTGACTCAGAAACTCTACTCCTTGGAAGAGACCTAAGAAAACGGAAAGCAAGAACTCTCACGCTCATCCTTGTGCACCAGTGTTCATTATAGCACAATTCACAAAAGCCAAAGGGGCCCACAACGCCACAGTCCACCCACAGTGGAAGAGATGAACAAAGTGTGGTTTATACATCCATACGATGTTGTACTACTCAGCCATAAGGAGAAACAAAGTCCTAACACAGCTGCATTAAGAATGAACCTGGAAACCACCATGGAGTGAAAGAAGCCAGACAGAAAAGGCCACATGGTGTAGGGCTCCATTTGCCTGAGATGTCCACAACAGGCACAGCCATAGGTACAGAAAGTAGGTTACTGGTTTCCAGGGGCTTATTGCAGAGGGAGGACAGGAGGTGGCTGGTGTCAGGCACAGGATTTCTTGTTTGTGGTGATGGAAAGAAATGTCCTGGTTGCGGTAATGCTTCCACACCATTGTGATTAAGTGCAAAAACTACTGATTTGTATACTTTATAAAGTGGTGAATGTTACATTCAGTGCAAATTTTTAAAGAAGTTTTTTAGTTGCAAAAAAAGAACTTGAAAAAGCTTAGTGTCTAGTTAGCAAACATAAGTCCAGGTCAAAAGCTATTCGCATGTGTGCTTTTGGTTGACACCCCACTGTGACCAAGTCCTGAAGGACAAAGATGATTTCAGGCTTTACTTCACTTTGGACCCCCTATGTGGCTGGCTACTGCTATGGTTGTACCCCCTACTTTTCATCAGTGAGATTTTAGAACAATGCAGGGGGGCTCCCAGGGCTGTGACAAATATCCCCCAAGAGGTATTTCTGGAATCTCATTTCAAAATCCAAGGAGTCCTGGTCATACACTTGGCTACCAATCAAAAGGTTGGCAGTTTGAAGTCACTAGAAGTCTCTTGGGAAGAAAGACCTGCCTATCCATTCCTGTAAAGAAAACCCTATGCAGGGTGGCTATGAGCCAGAACCCACTCGGTGGCATGCAACCACCCCCCCCCACCTGCTCCTGTAAAGATGACGTCAAGCAAACCCTACAGGCAGCTCTTCTCTGACCTATAGCCTCACTATGAGTCAGAATTAACTCAGCAGGCCCCACCAACATTTCCAATTCTAGGATCAACTGCTATGATGTGTTTGGGGCCCAATCCCCGTTCGGTGGCTACAAGATGTCTGGAAGTGGCCGTGAGCTTGGGGAATATGGCCTGCAGGCATACACTGAAGTGAAAACCGTGAGTAGGCTGCCCGCTGGGCCCTCCTCCCACTCTCAGTCCTCGGTCTCACTCAGTCCCTTAGTTTAATGCCGTTTCTGCTTCTGAGTCCAAGAAGCTATGAAGGAAAGCTTCCATGGAGCGCCAGCATTAGCTATCAAGGCCCTAACCACACCCACACTGATGGGAACAGATCCTAGAGAACTAATCAGAACTACAAAGACAGTATTAGTTCTGTACATGTTCATCAGCCTATAGCAGGGAAGGGTCTGGTGTAACTCAAATGCCCAGTAATGCCCAGTAATTGATGGAACACCAAAACCATGGTATAATATTTAACAGAGAAAACTCCCCTTCTTGAAAGTGAAATAGCAGGATACAGCGAAATCTATGTAGTATGAGCCCAATTTTACAACTGTAAATGTATATGTAGAAAGAACTGGATCTATTTGTCCATCAGTATAAACAAGGTGGGGGGAAAACATGTTAAAGAGATACCAGTGTTCTCTTTACAGTGAACACCCATTCCAGTTTAACCAAAGAACACACACACAAGGAAAGTTACAAGGCGAGAAATGGGTCTACTTGGACTCCCAGGGTTGGGAAAGGAGGGAGGGCACAGGGCAAGCCGACTGAGAGGAAAAGAGGGAGGAAAGCCAAATGGGTGGTGGGAGGGAGGGTCTGTAGCTTTTGTCAACACTCTCCTACAATGAACCTTGAAAATATAGACAAACTGTGACAAGCAGATAATTTTTGGGATGGGAGCTATCCTATGCATTGTAAGATGTTTAACAAGATCTCTGACCTTAACCCACTCCCGGCCCCCTTCAGTTGTGACAACAAAAATGTCTCCAGACATTGTGCAGTGCCCTTGGGAAGCATGCTGGTCCCTGTGGATTAAGGGGGATGCGGGTGTGACCTCACACTAATACAGACTCAGTGATTCCTGGCAATGGTCAGTTGACCAATAGTACCTTACAATTTAGGGAACCCCTTCTGCGCATGCCCTGGCAGTAGCGTGTTGGGGGTGAATGAAGACTGAATGGCTTCTTTTAACTCCTTGCAGGTCACTGTCAAGGTTCCTCAAAAGAACTCATAAAGGGCGGAGCTGCTTCCTGCTCAATGAGACCTGCATAAAACCAAGACAAATGACTTTTGGAAGCCAGCAGTGTCAACAGAAATTCCTTCACAAAATCTTGGAGTCAAGAACTTTCTGGAATTTGAACTGATCAACAGGGTGGGAAGGTGGGGTGAAGAGTTTATGGGGAGTCTTGTAAACAGCAACATTGCTACTAGCTTTAGGGGAGGAGGCAATTTTTAAAAACCCAGTCGGTATCTCATCCTGTCATTGGCTACACTTTAGTAAACTTGCCTTTGTGGGAAGAAAAGCCACAAAGTTTGCAATTTTATTAATATCAGTCAACAGCTAGGACCTTTATATTCCAGACTAATAATCATTAAAAACAGAGCTTATAACTTTTTGAGTAATTCTTTCTTCATTGTTGTTGTTGTTGTCATGTGCCGTGGAGTTGGTTCCGACTCATAGCGACCCTGTACAGGGTTTCCGAGGCTGTAAATCTTTATGGGAGCAGAAAGCCTCATCTTTCTCCCACGGAACAGCTGGTAGTTTCGAACTGCTGACCCTGAAGTTCGCAGCCCAATTCGTAACCACTACGCTACCACCCTCATATCCCAAGGAAATGCTATCAGGCAGGTTCAGTCCTCCTTCCCCCATGCCTGTACTATTAGATCCTTCTGCTACTGTGGATAAAGAGCTTTCTGTTTGTGCATTTCATGAAATGCTGTGGCCTTTCTCCGTGTACCAGACACTGGGCTAAGCAGCAGGGTAAGACCAATACGGGCCCTTGGCTTCGGAGAATGGGGAAATATGCCAGGACAGAGACACTTGGCCTGTTTGTTCGTTCAAACACTTTATCAAACCAAACAATTCAGATTCATATGGGATCAATTACATAAGTGATCAGTTTGGAAGCCACTTGTCAATTAGATCATTTTAAGTGAAATCTACATTTTTGGTGGCTAAACCTTTAGATCTCCTGTCCAAGACACGGCTTCCCTGAGTCAAGGCACCTGGCCAACATTTCTGACTCAAAGCGACCCTGTATAGTATTTCCGAGGGAGTGGATGGTGGGTTTGAACCTCCAACCTTGTGGTTAGCAGTCCAGTGCTTATTTTATAGTACCAATCAGGCAAATTAGTAAGAAACACTAGTTGTTGTTATGTGACATGGAGTTGATTCTGACTCATAGTGACCCTGTGCACAGTAGAACAAAGCACTGCCTGGTCCTGTGCCAGCCTCACAATTGTCATGTTTGAGCGCATTCATGCAGTCACTATGTCTGTATATCTCGTTGGGGGACTTCCTCTTTTTTGCTGACCTCCACTTTGCCAAGCATGATGTCCTTTTCTAGAACTGGTCCTTCCTGATGACATGCCCAAACTTTGTGAGACAGTCTCAACATCTTCACTTCCAAGGAGCATCTGGCTGTACATCTTCCAAAACAGATTTATTTGTTCTTTTGGCAGTCTGTGGTACTTTTAGTATTCTTTGCCAACACCATAATTCAAATGCATCGATTCTTCTACAGTTTACATTATTCACTGTCCAGCTTTCACATATATATGAGGCTACTGAAAATACCATGGCTTGGGTCAGGTGCACCTTAGTCTTCAAACTGTTATCTTTGCTCTTGAACACTTCAAAGAGACCTTTTGCAACAGATTAGCCTAATGCAATATATCATTTGATTTCTTGGCTGCTGCTTCCATGAGTGTTGATTGTGGATCCCAGTAAAACGATGTCTTTGACAACTCCAATCTGTTCTTCTTTTATCATGCTGTTATTTATTGGTCCAGTTGTAAGGATTTTTGTTTTCTTTACATTTTGGTGCAGTCTTTGATTTTCATAAATATTTCATGTCCTCTTCACTTGCAGCAAGCAAAGTTGTATCATCTACATATTGCAGGTTGTTAAGGAGTCTCCAATCCTGATGCTGTCTTGTTCTTCATAGAATCTTGGATTATCTGTTCAGCATACAGATTGAATAAGTAAGGTGAAAGGATACAATACTGACACACATCTTTCCTAATTTTAAAGCAATCAGCACCCCCTTGTTCTGTTCAAACGACTGCCTCTTGGTCTATGCAAAGGTTCCTCATGAGCACAATTAAGTGTTCTGGAATTCCTATTCTTTCCAATGATAGTCATAATTTGCTATGATCGACAGAGTTGAATGCCTTTGCATAGTCAATTAAACACAAGTAAACATCTTTAATAGTGTTTGGGAGTACAGTGGCACCATATATAAGCACTGGACTGCAAACCACAAGGTCAAAGGTTTGAGCATCAAACGTTCTGCAGCAGAAAGATGAACTTTCTGCTCTCTAGAAAATTTAAAGCCTTGGAAACCCTATATGTGGTCATTACGAGTGGGAACCGACTTGATGATACCTAACAGCAAGAAACATCTCTCTTACATCCGATTTGGTATCCTGCATTCCGCGTACTCTTCTGAATCTGGCTTGAATTTCTGGCAAATCCCTGTCGATGTAATGCTGCAACTGTTTTTTTAATTATCTTCTGCAAAATTTTGTTTGCATGTGGTATTAATCATATCATTCAATGATTTCCATGTTCTGTTGGGTCACATTTCTTTGCAATGGGCACAGATATGGATCTCTTCCAATTGGTTGGCTAGGGAGCTGTCTTCCACATTTCTTGGCACAGACAAGTGAGCACCATTATGTCCTGGAGCCTTGATTTTTGCTAATGCTTTCCGTGCAGCCTGGACTTCTTCCTTCGATACCACTGATTCTTGATCATTGTTCAGTTCTTTTTTGGTACTGTGTATTCTTTTCATCTTCTTTTGATGCTTCCTACATCATTCAATATTTTACCCATAGAATCCCTCAATATTTCAAGTCAAGGCTTGATTTTTTTCTTCAATCTTTAAGCTTGAGAAATTCCAAGTGTGTTCTTCCCTCTTGGTTTTCTGACACCAGGGTTTTGCACATTTTGTTACAATACTTTACTTTTGCTTCTTGAGCTACCCTTTGATAATTCCTGTTCAACTCTTTTACTTCATTTATCTAACTTCAACATCAAGTTTCAAAGTCTCTTCCGACATCCACTTTAGTCTTTTCTATCTTTTAAATGACCTTTTGCTTTCTTCCTGTTTGATGTTCTTGGTGTCGTCATCCCACAGCTCTTCTGGTTTTCCATCATTAACGGAATTAATTAAGTGGAATAAATTAAAGCATAAAATTTGTTCTTAAGATGGTCTCTAAACTCAGATGGGATATATTCAAGGCATTATTTAGATGTTAGTAAACTTGTTTTAATTTTCTTCAGCTTCAGCCTGAACTTGCATATGAGTAATTGATGATCTATTTGACAGTTGGCTCCTAGTCTTGTTTTAACTGATAATATTGAGCTTCTCCATCGTCTCTTCCCACAGATGTAGTCATTTTGATTCCTGTGTATTCCATTTGGTGACATCTATGTGTATAGTCAAAGTTCTTGTTGTTGAAAAAAATGTATCTACAACTTATAAGTTATTGGTCTTATAACATTCTATTATGCAATGTCTAGCCAACACCATATTTCCCCAATATTAATCTTTCCTCTTTGTTTCTAAATTTCACATTCCAGCCACCAGTAATTATCAGTGCATCTTGATTGTATATTTGATCAGTTTCAGACCAATAGGTGGGATTCTTCATCAAAGGCACATAAATTTGAATAACAGTGGTATTAACTGTTTTTTCTTGTATTGCTATTATCCTATCACAGACAGCATTGCACTTAAAAACAGATTTTGAAATTCTCTTTTTGACAGTGTGATGCTATTTCTCTTCAATTTGTCATTCCGGCATAGTATATCACATGATTGTCAGATTGAGAATGGCCAATGCTTTGTCCATTTCAACTCACTAATACCTAGGATACTGATCTTTATGCATTCCATTTAGTTTTTAATGGATTCTAATTTTCCTAAATTCATACTTAATACATTCCACGTTTGGTTATTAATGGACGTTTGTAACTTTTTAAGTATAATTTTGAGTTGTGTCCCATCATCAAATGAAGGTCCTGAAAACTTGACTCCACTTGTGTCATCATGGTCAGCTCTACTTTGAGGAGGCAGCTCTTTCCCAGTTGTATTTTGAGTGCCTTCCAACCTGAGTGGCTCATCTTCCTGCACTATATCTGACAATGTACGGCTGCTATTCACAAGGTTTCAGTGGCTCACCATTTAGAAGTGGTCTGCCTCGTTTCCTAGTCTGTCTTAGTCTGGAAGCTCTGCTGAAACCTGCTGATCATAGGTGACCCTGCTGGTATTTAAAATACTAGTGGTACAGCTGCCAGCATTGCAGCAACACACAAGCCACCACATATGACAAACTGACAGACGAGTGGTCAGTAAACAGATTCCTGGTGTGGTGCTGTAGGATAAGCAATGGATCACAAGTTTTTTTGTTTGATTCTCAAGGTTGGCGATTCAAACCTACCAGCCACTCCTCAGAAACCCTATACAGGGTTGCTATGAGTCAGAGCTGACTTGACAGTATTTAACAACAACAGTAATCAGATGATTTCTTGGTGAGTGTGGAATCGGAGCAAAAAATGATAGTAGTAGTTGGGATTGTTTAGGTCACAGATTCCTTTGAGACTTTGCAGAAAACCTCAATCTTTTAGAAAAATACACCTTCCAACAACAACAGTCATTGTGTATCGCGTCATTGGCTGACCTTACAGGCTAGTTCACCGAGGCTGAGCCACGTTTTGATAAACAATCCTCATTCTACTAAAGACTAATTTTAGTTATTCAAACGGTGCTTCACAATCTTCGTCATTCTTGTTTCTTTCTTTATTGTGGTAAAATACTTACTAAAACTATCACACCTCTATTTGCCACATACCTGCACTGTGATTTACATAATTTTTTTGTTCACATTAACTCACTTCTCTATTTAAATAAAAACATTAAAGAACACCTTGTTCCCAGACACAGGAAAAGTAGTACTTGGCTACCATCAATCGAAAGCAATGTACACAGTGATAGCAGCACAATAATA